GCTTGGGGCCGGGGAGGTGGCTCAGTAGAATATGCGCTTCCCTGGCAAGCGCAAGGACCTGAGTTCTATCCCTGGTTCTGCCAAAAAATAAAAAATAAATAAATAAACAAATTATATGACACTGTACAATAAACAACTTATTGGTTTATATAGTTACTATGCCTTTTGTCATTAGACTGTACTCCTACTTTTCAAAATGCACTTTGTATAATACAAAATGTACTTTTGTATAAAACAAAAATGCTAGCAGAAACCTCATACATTTCCTGTTTACTACGTCTTTACTATATCATGTCATGTGATTGAACTATAGTAGCTAGGTTTGTGAAAGTACAGTATGATGTTCACACAAGACAAAAACCACCTAATGGGACATTTCTCAGAACATATTCTCACTGACTCATTTTACATGACTATATTGATCTCTGGATACTTTATTCTGTTTCCTTGATCTGTTTATAGATATTCTTTAGCCTATACCACACTATCTTGAAGTTGGATAGTGTTAGTCTTCTGATTTTGTACAACTCTTCCAATATTCGGTTAGCTATTTTAAATCATTTACACCATTTTATAAAGTTTAGAATCATTTTGTTGATAGCTACAGAATTTCTAGGATTTTAGACAACCTGTGCATTCAATCCACAGATCAAGCTGGGAAGAACTGACATCTTGATATTATTAATGTAAGTCTATTTGTCAACATGAAATGCTTCTCCTTCTCCTCTTTTGATACCTTTCATGACAGCTTTGTAGTTTTTCTTATATGGATCTCGAAAATATTTTAAGTTAATAAGCAAAAACATTATTCAATAAATAAATTGGGGACATCTGGCTAGCTATCTGGTGAGAAAAAATTGTCTCTTTTTTGAAATTAATTGGGGCTGGGGAGATGGCTCAGTGGAATAAGTGCTTCCCTGGCAAGCACAAGGGCCTGAGTTCAATCCCCGGTTCCAAAAAAAAAAAAGAAAGAAAGAAATTAATTACAGGTAGGTTGAAGAATTAAATGTAAACTGGGCATGAAGGGACACACCTGTAATTTTGACTACCCAGCGGAATACAGAGGGATTACAAATTGGGCTCCAGGGCCTGCAAGATAGCTCAGCGGACTAAGTGCCTGCTTAGGCAAGTGCAAGGACTGGGGTCTGATCCCCAATACCACATGCCATGCCAGCTTTGTCCCCGGGTGCTGAGCCTGCCACTGAGTCTGGGTGTGGTGGCATATGCCTGTAATCCCAGCCCTGGGGAGGCTGAAAACAGGAGGACCACTACACGTCCGAACTGTGTAGTGAGATCCTGCACCAAATACATTAAAAACACATGCAGCTTGGGCTCTAGGCTGGGAAACTCAGTGAGACATTGTCTCAAAATAAAAAGTAAGGGGCTGGT